GGAGGCCCCATCTGTGGAGACATTCAAGGTCAGGCTTGATGAGGCTCTGAGTAGCCTGGTCTAGTTAAAGATGTCCCTGCTCACTGCAGGGAGATCGGACTAAATGACCTTCAGAAGTTCCTTCCAACGCAACACATTCCATGATTCTATTCTATGAATTATTCAGAAACCTCGTGCTGAAACGAGATCATTCTTGGTAGAGTTGGCCAGAAGGCAAATAGCCAACAGAGTTGCCAAGGGAGTAAAATAGCTACAAGCAAACGCATTACAATGTTTATGTGAAGTTTTTCAGGTGTCTGTAGTATGTGGCTCAAATGTTCCGGAATTAGGTATTTTCTAGACACAATAGACTTCCATGACATTATATTCCAAGAAATCTTTCTCTTTTTGAACCCAAATACACGGTGTTTTATCTTCTATGTCGTGCAGCGAGTAGTTATCAGCTTAGCTGCATATGGTGTAAAGCAGTATCTACTGTTGAGGCCTTGAGCAACCTGGTCTAGTTATGGGCACCCCTGCCCATGGCAGGGAGGTTGGATTAGATAATCTCTAAGGTTCCTTCCAAACTAAGATGTTCTATGTTTCTGTGATTTTACCTGAATCTCTGCTAGTCTCCTCAGTGCTTACAGTGTTGTTGTAGGAAATTAAAGCACTGAAGTGTCACATCCTGTTGAAGTGAAACAAAAAAAAAAAGAACTTTCTATCAGTCTTAGCATATTGATTGTTTTCCTCTAGGACTTTTTGTTCTCCTCTGGCTTTTACACAAGAGACATTCACAGGCTTCTTACCTTTGGTTGTTCGTGTTGCTTGTCTCTTTTTTTACTTTTTTCGGTCGTACTCTGAGTAAGGGAGGCATCTGCACAGTGCTTCCTCGGTGCAGTTTGGAGGTAAGGGGAAAGGAGGAAGAAAAGCAACTATCAAAGAAAGAGAGCAAAACCTGTGAACTCAAATCAAGTGAGTTCTTCCTGAGCAAACCTTCTTCTTAAGCAATAAACTTTCAAGTTAAGTTGAAACTATAAATCATAGAGGAATGTTAGAGAAGCTGTTTTTAAGGAATCCAGGACTTGTGTTAATTGGAAAGGATTCTATTTTAAAATGTATTTTTAAAAATTGTTTGAAGCAATTTGAATTTTCAAGGCAATCCCAGGTGTATTTTGCATTACAGTAACAGGGAGGAAAATACCCGCTTTTAGATGGGAAGAGGGAAATATGATTTATTTTATGAAATGAGTTACCGAGAAGGGCCAGATGGGCAATTGCATCAGTCTGTGCAAAGAAGTGTTTTCTAGTAACTTTTGGTTATAGACTGGGTGGATAACTCTTGCTTGCATAAAAATTAAGCTGTTTAGTCTCTAGTAATTATTTATCAGGATCAGGAAAGTGACTTAACTATGTGAAGGATAACTGGAGGGAATAAACATAATTCATCTTGATACTCAGATCACTTAAGAAAATTTGCAAATTTTGCCAGCTCTTATCATAAACCTACTACTACTGGTCCTGTAATTCCAGGATTCAACTTTGGCACGTCTGTGGCAAGTATGCAGAAAGTAGCAGCTTAATTAAGAATATGTTCAAAGTAGTATTTGGCAGTACGGGCTTGGATCAGTGCATTTATTTATTTATTTATTTATTTATTAGGCAGTACGGGCTTGGATCAGTGTATTTATTAATTCATTCATTTATTTATTTATTTATTTATTAGGTCTTCAGTCCTTGTCATTCAAATCTTGTATTCATGCATGGATGGCTTTAAATCTGCATTCTAAACTTCTGCTCTCTTTGCTTGTTTCTAGTGGTTTTTCAAGAATTCATTAGCCAAAACAAGAAAAATTTCCTGAAGTTTAAATATTCGTTAAATATATGTACCTCTTTCCTTACTAAGTTTCATGACTTCTTTCTCGCTAACAACAAAAACAACCAGTGAAAGAACAGCCAAACCAAAGCAACTTTCCCAAAAGTTCCTCTTTGATCTCTGAGGTTATATGGAAGGACTTAGTCAGATGAGATGATCTTCTTGAGAGAGCCATGAACAGTCTGCATGTGGCTGCTTGGAACAGGAATTTACTTTCCAAATAAATAGGATAAATGGTATCTGCTGCAGTTTTCTAATGGATCTTGATAAAATGATTCACTTGTCATGTGTCGTGGCCTCCTCCCCCCCATTTCTCTCCCATCATTTAGGTGTTCCAGCAACTCATGTGAAAGGCCAAGTTTGGAAGAGGCATAAGGACGCATTTTTTGTTCTCTTGAATAGAATCACTGAGGTTGGAGAAGACCCTTAAGATCAAGTCCAACTGTAAACCTGACACTGGCCACTAAAACGGTCCCTAAGTGCCACCTCTGCACATCTTTGAAATACTTCTAGGGGTGGTGACTCAACCAATATGTTGTCTTAGTAAGGGGTGGATGAGAAGGGCACTGGCAGAGAGGGACTGACTCTGTTTCACAGGTTACCCAGTGCTGTTCGTGCTGGGTGTAGAGCGGTGGGAAGGGAGACTAAGGCGAGGGCAAGATGTGCTGTGAGTGCTTCTCTCAGCTTGGCTTGCGATTCTTCACCTTCCGGAACTCCTGAAGCCCTCAGGCTCCTTTGAGAGCTTTCATTGCCAGCTGCTCCTTGCCAGCTGAATCTTATAAATAAAACATTTTTGAAGTGTTTAACAGGCCCATACTATATATATGTGTGTGTATATATTTAATAGAGTAAAATAAGATCTTCGCATTACAATTTTTGGAGGCAGAGCACTAGACGTTAGTATGTGTATCTAACATTTGAGGGAAAAAAGCTATCTGTATTGTGAAATTGGGAGTTGTTACCTGAAAATCTTCTCTTACTGTTGTTCACTCAGTAGTTCTGCTACAATTTTGAAGATACGATTTGAAGCAGCTTCTAATATGAAACCTTTGTCTGTCCTCTGCTATATAAAAGCTTTTGCTTTCTCTTTTTTTTTTTTGTTTTCACCAGTAAGAAGGTTCGTTAATATTAAAAATTGAACAAACAGACAAACAAACAAACCCCCCAAAAGACCCTCTCCACATAAAACAAAACCAAAACAAAACCCAAACAAAACAACCAACAAACCAACCAACCAATCCCCCCTGAAATGTCTTAAGCCTACCAGGAAGTGAATAGAAGTTTTTTACTCTGAAAAGAAGTTGTCTTGGGCAATAACATTTATCTCAGTTTTCTTTTATGTTTAATAGAACATAGAAACGGAGAACATTCTTGACTGTAATACAAAGACCTACTCATGCTGTCTTGATTTTATATTTTGGAAGGGAATGTTAATCATGCTTTTTGGCTTTTCTGTTATTTGACGTTTCAAATGATAGAAACTTTTTCACTATGGACGGGGCCTTTTAGAATCACATTGTCATGTATGACATCTGAAATATGACCTTACTAATTTACTTCATGAACCCAGTTTCAAAGATGGATATTTAAAATTAATTGATAGATTATGTTATCCAATACTTAAACAAACAACAACCCTGCCCCAGCACCCAAGAATATTTGGACCAATGGTGAATCTTACCAAAATCAGAAAGTGACTTTATTCTTGGTGCTTATACCTTAAATGTTAATTTGATTTTTTTTCCTTTTATTAATTATTTTTCAGTGATGTTTGTACATGGTGCCTAATTGCCAAGATAATTGTGTTTTGTCCAGCTGAACTGGAACACAGATGTTACTGTAGCTGAGACACAGGAATTAGCAGTTGTACATCTCCTTTCTTTTGACTTTTATAGCCTGCAAATCTGTCTCTGCCAATCTATGGCTGGATTTCTACGACATGTTGCCTTTAGAGGGTTGGGATTACTGCGATAGAACATGGTTATTATTTGTTAGCGCAGAGAGGAGGAGCAAGAAAGGTGGCTGACCTTCTGGGAGAAATGTGTGGGTGTGCAGGACAGGGCAGTTGGTATGGGCCTACTTTGCCTTGGTAAATATGTTTAATGGTTGGTACTAAATGAGATGGCGTTACTGATTTTTAGTTTGTTGTTTTGACTCTTTACTGATTCATGAAATTGATTATTTTGTTGGACTTGCATTTCTTTTTAAGCTACTGAGTTACAGTGCTGCTCTTTGAGGGATAAGAAGGTTGTGTCAGTTGTTAGTTTTTAAATAGGGATCACCAGGTAATTTTGCTGTTACTGTTTATTATCAGGGTCAGGAGAAAATGGATGAAATTTAAAATACCTTATTGCTGTAATATGCTGAAACTTCAATGTCTTTACTTTGCACATCCTTTATTTCTTGTTTCTGCAAGTGCCAGAACCTGTATGGCTCTTCTCTGCCCCCTTAGTTTATGTTATGTAGCTTTCTCAGGTTTTATACTGCTTAAACAATTAGCCTACAACAGCAAGCCATAAGTAATCATTCTAGGAGTATCCCGTGGAGGTCCTAATCCTCATTTTAAATAGCTTTGGTTGGTTGTGGTTATTTTTTTTTTCTTCAACCTCTGTATTTAGAGAATGTTTCAGTGTGGAAGTTTGTAGTCAGAAGACCACATGAGATTTTCTTGAGGAGATCAGAACAGCTGGGCATATCTTGTATTGTTTCAGTACAAGTATTTGTGCTAACATGTAAAGGATTTTTTTTTTTTAAGCTGTGGAGATGACAGTTTTCACTCATTTCAGTCTTCTGTGACAGCATGTGAAGTTAGAATACTTACTGTGAAGTGGTAAAATTCTTAAAGCATGTGGTGAATTTTTTAATATTTTTAAGATTTTAAATGTATGGTCAGTAAGAAAATAAATTCATTTTTATAGTAAATTTTTAGATATAGATAGAGTATATGTTTGTACAGATAATACAGGCAAAATCACAGTTGTAAAGCTTCATTAAGAAGTGATAATTCTAAAAGAATTGTTACTATAATTGAATGACATACTGATGAATTCACTGAAACACATGTGCGTGCTTTGTATTCCATTAACTGAATGCCATCACAATTAAAAAAATACATTGTATAAAGCTTCCCCTTTTTTTATACCAGTTACAAGCAGGGGACATTGAAAATTCTCCCTTGGAATGAGCAGAAACATCGTGAAGAAGACTGGTGTGAAAAAGCGGAATGCAGGTAAGTGTTTAGAAAAAGCAGAAAGCTTTTTCTATATTTGTGTACATTTCAGATGAAGATTTTACTGACTAATTATTAAAATGTGAGAAATACCCATGAAGACTCACTTCTTGTTTCTGTACACACTGACTTGTGTTTTCAGCTTTCTTAGTGAGACTGACGGAGCAAACACTTCCATGTTGCAGCGTAGTGTTCAGTGTGATTATGCGATATCTAACTTGTGCATGTGAATAGAGGGGAGATTACAGGTGGAAATCCTGATTTAGTTATTCTTTTTTCTGTCTGCCCTGCTACTTGTCAGCCATAACATGATCATACCAGCATTAATGGATCACAAAACTGCCTTTTACTGTGTGAAGAACAGATGGAAAGCAGAGGGTGGGCATACCAGTGTCTTTGGTAGATAGGATTCTTTCTTTTGTGACCTGTCTTATGTTAAACTGCTGACAAAAATTAACACTTACGGTGATTGGCATTTGAATCTCATCGAATTCTTGGTATTATGGTAGGTTGATTGTATTATTTTCTTTCAGAACAACCAGAAGTTTTAGGAAAAAGACTGATGTGAAAAAATACAAGCAAAAGTCGTGTTTAAACTTACACTTCTTTTTTTTAAAGGACGATTGTTGAACCAACTTTACAAGATGAAGGTGAATTTCTGTATGAAACACAACCTGAGTTACTGAAGTACAGGACTACTGACCTTTCAGTAGGTCTTGTTACGGATTGGTATTTGAGCAGAGCACAGGAAATTGAAAAATATGCGATGCAGGTGAGAATAGCCTTGAGGTAATGATGATGGCTGACTTGGGCTGATCAGCTGTCTTCAAGACAATGCTTCCTTAATGTGTATTAGTGGGTCACATTTTCTTCTGTAATATGCACTGTCTCAGTCTTCATTTTGGTGTTTGAGGTATTTGTTTTTACTTTTGATTGGTGTAAAGTTTACTCAGCCAAATAATTGATCCACAGGAATGCATAGGAAGCCAGTAGATTCCTTTTCACTTGGCTTAATGTAGCAGACAGTAGCACTTTTGCAGCCTATGAAAAATATTTACCGTTGCAATTTTTGTACGTAAGGGTGGGAATGCTGTTTTGGGAAACATGCTTTGTTATCTGTCATGTGATACTGACATTTATATAGTTACGTGGTAGTCAGACGCGTCACTGTCATGTGCCAATATGTAGAACCGTCATGATTGCTGCTTGGCAGGATTATTGCGTGTCTGTGGGACTACCATGCAGCTTATTTTTCCTTTATTTTCCTCATATTTTAAAGATGTTTGAAACTCTGTGTGGTCAAGATAAGCATTGCAAGTAAGAGGAGAGCTTGCCACTGACATGCTTCACAAGCTAATCTAGCTGCCTGAAAAGGATGAGTTAGTTTTTATGGGCGAGTTCTTGTTCTTCAAGTTTGCAGTCCTCCAAGACTTCTTAATCGTAGTTCCCTGTGATCTTAACAGGTTGTTGGTAGATATGGAAATAAAAGCAGATACCAAGGCTCAATTAAATTACTAACATATAAATGAAATTGCATTCTACTCTTCCAGACTTATGTCTGCTTCACTGAATACATACACCCAATACTGCATTTGTTAAAATTGAAACAGAATCTTTTGTGTAAAGGAATTCTCAGTCACCAGGCAAAAAGATTGTCTTTATCTTCTTGAAATAAAACGTAACAATTGAAATTATTAATTCATGGTCAACTAGAAAAGTCACACAGTTACATGCAGAGATATGCATAACTTCAGTCAGTTAACTGACAATCGTAGTTAAAAGCAATCCATCGTGTTCCATGCAGTGAGATGAGGTGATGTTCTCCAGAAGAAATAGCACTCTCCTGATTTACGTGCATCAATAGGATGTGTCTGGGCCAAAAGCCTATAATGATATCATCCATTAAGATTAAGCATTTTATCTGGTCTTTATAAAGCTGAAAGGAGCAAACCATTTAGGAAAATACAGTCCACAAAAGCTTCTAGGAACTTACAATTGCCATTAAGCAAAAAGAAGAAACTAGGCACACAAACAGGACATAGATTGGACTTTTTTTCTTTTTTTGGCAAAGAGTTGTTACAGCAGTTTTAGGGTTGTTTTTAATTGTTTTTCAGGTGGACTGTGCTCTGTCCCTTGTTCGTCTTGGCATGGAGAGGAATATTCCTGGTCTGCAGCTGCTTTGTGACAATCTGATCACCCTTGAGACAGTAGTTTATGAGACTGATGGTGATCGAACCTTAACTTTGAAGGAACTTGTAGAGATGAAAGACATTGAAAAGCTGAGACTGTTGATGAAGAATGTAAGTATTTTTAGTATATCGGTAAGTGTACATTGATTTCCAGTAATTCATATTACCTTAGATCCTATGTTGCTGACAGTTGTCTAATGAACCTCTATCTTTAATTCAACAAGAATTCATCACTTTTACTGTTCCCTTTTTGTTGCGATGGGGTTTCTTCCTTTTTTTATTTGTTTTTTTAACACAAGCTGAAAAGACTCAGTTTTCTCAAAAGACCTGTGTCTTAGTCACAGGACTAAACGTGAATGAATCCAGTCTTTTGAAAGCTGTGAATTGCTTATTCATCAACCATTTCTAAAGGATCTTCAGTGTAGCTGTTGATGATGCTTCAGATATAACACTGAATGTTTTCCTTGGATGTTTTCTGGTGTCCTTATATATTGGCAAAGAATCTTAATGCTTGTTTCTGCAGCATATGTGTGTTTTTCATCTTCTCTGTGTTCATCCTCATCATGACATTTCAGAATAGAAAAAGAACTCTTGGAAAGGTTAAAAAATACCTAGAGATTGAACAGGGCTCTGAAGTTCATTTGAAGAGTATGTAAGAACCAGAGAAGCATACTCGTGGGCTTGAACCTTCTCAGAATTTTCAAAAATTTGCTAGGATTTATGTAACTGCTCAACATTTGCTTTTCAGTCTTGCGTTCTTGTGTCCTGGAAGTAATGCTGCTCTGACATGAATGCACATTCGATGTTTCACTCATTCTGAGGTTGCAGGAGGAAGACAGCTAGGCTTTCCTCCTGTGATGGGCTTCACTCCTGTACTGCTTGGTTTCCCCAAGCCATGGGGTAGCAGAAAGATGATGGATTGTTTCAGTGCTTCATGAACTTGATGAAGTTCAATAAGGACAAGTGTAGAGTCCTGCATCTGGGGAGGAATAACACCAGGCACCAGTAAAGGCTTAGGGGATGTCCTGCTGGAAAGCAGCCCCATGGAGAAAGACCTTGGAGTCCTAGTGGACAGTGAGTTGTCCATGGGACAGCAACGTGCCCTTGTGGCCAAGAAGGCCAATGGGATCCTGGGGTGCATTAAGAAAAGTGTGTCCAGCAGGTCTAGGGAAGTTCTCCTTCCCCTCTACTCTGCCCTGCTGAGACCACACCTGGAATACAGTGTCCAGTTTTGGACTCCCCAGAAGAGAAACAGGGACCTATTGGAGAGAGTCCAACAGAGAGCTACGAGGGTGATTAAGGGACTTGAACATCTCTCCTGTGAAGAGAGACTGAGAGAACTGGGGCTGTTTAGCCTTGAAAAGAGACAACTGAAAGGGGACCTTATTAACGTGTATAAATATCTGAGGTGTGGATGTCAAGAGGAAGGGGACAGTCTCTTCTCAGTGGTGCCCAGCAACAGAACAAGAAATAATGGGTTTAAGCTTTTTTGATAGGTTTAAGGTTTTACAATCTACCGTAGGTGATCCTGCTGTGTTGGAGGGGCTGGACTAGATGATCTTTTGAGGTCCCTTCCAACCCCTGACATTCTGTGAAGCTAGAACAGAGGAAGTTCCACCTCAACATGAGGAGAAACTTCTTTCCTATGTGGGTGCCGGAGCACTGGCACAGGCTGCCCAGAGAGGTTTTGGAGTCTCCTTCCCTGGAGACTTTCAAAACCCACCTGGATGTGTTCCTGTGTGACCTGCCCTAGAGGATCCTGTTCTGGCAGGGAGGTTGGACTAGATGATCTCTAGAGGTCCCTTCCAACCCCTGACATTCTGTTAATCTATGATGTGGTAGTGAGCTGTGCAAGCTGTGACGAATACACGCTTCGGCTGGTTTTTTGTTATAGGTGAAGATACTGCTTTGGTTATATTGGTCGAAATATATTCTGTTTGTTGGGTTGGGGTTTTTATTGTTATTTTGTTTGGGTTTTTTTTTTTAAGACAATCAAGCTGAACTTGTTCTTTTTTTCCTCTCTGTAACTCATTGCACTTTCCAGTCCTCTGACGAAAAATATGTGAAGAATGTTTATCAGTGGATGATCCCTTTTCTCCATCGCTGTGAAAATCAATCTCCTGGTCTTGCAAATTCACTTTTTAGAGAATATTTAGTAACGTTAGCAAAGGAAGACCTGACTCTACCTCTGAAGATATTTCAGAATTCAAAACCCGCTGTAAGTATAGAGCCCTGATGATTCTACTGGTTACCACTGTTCTCCTCAGTGTCTGCAGTGTAGGAAACTACACAAGTTAGTTTTCAGGTTGTAACTTCAACAAGTTGACCAAGTTGTTAGCAAGAGACCTTCTAATTACAGCTGAAGACTGTTTAGTTGTAATAGATATCTGTTGATATTCAGGAGGAACTTAAGTGTTGAATTAGAAAAAGAGAACTAAAAATAATATACTTTCTTTTCTTGTTAGTGTCAGCAAAAACTTATTCCTGATCAAGACCAGGTTATGATTACGGCACTGGAATGTATTTATAGTTGTGAACGAGATGACCAGCTCTCTCTCTGTTACGATATCTTGGAATGCCTTCCACAAAGAGGATATGGGTAAATGTTTTCAGCTAGTTATTTGCAAATATTTTTCATATATTAAAGATAGTTGTGAATTTAGTGCTTAAAAATAGTTAAGTAACTAAAGGATAGATTATGTTACTGTAATATTCTGTTCCTGTTTCAGCTGCTGTGTCCATATTTGTAAATATGTCCTTGTGCTGTACGTTGTATATTCTCTACCAGATAATGCAACAAAACATAGTTTAAATTAATGGTATAGATTGAGGCTTCTGATTCGGTTGCTTAGACTTTCAGAGCCTGGGGAATTGAGCCCCAGCAGTAGTGCTGTTTTACTGGTCTTGTTACAGATAGCGGCATCTTGCACTTAGCTTATAAGTAGCAATATGGCCCTGTGAGAGGGATCTCTATATGAGAAGGACAAGTACTTCTTGAGCAGCTGAAAGCATGAGGAGAAGATGTATACCATTCTCCCAGTATCTTTTACATGTAGGAAGGAAGGAGTCTGAGAAAAGTCTCAGGAGGAAGGAGAAGCTTTGTTATGGGGAGACTGAAGGTTCCACTCAATTTTTCATCCAGGAATGTTTCACACTGCTTATCTTTATGTAATATGAATTAAATGGAGAAATTGCAAGTACAGAGATATATATACATATATATGTAGTATTAATTGTGTAATATCTTTGCAGGCCTGAAACAGATAAGACTAACACTCTTCATGATGAAGTAGATGAACTGGAACAAATTCTTAGGTATTTAATTTTGATAAAGTAACTAATGTCTTCTTACAGAAATCATTAGGCATAGCTAAATACTTTTTTAATGACAAGAAAGCAGCAAGAATATTTATTGGTTTTAGTGCTGTCACAAGATAATTTAAGTGGGTTTTTTTTGTATTCAGAACTTAAATTTTGAATTATTTTAGCTACTTGGATATTATAAAACTGCACAGTTATTTTTGCTTGGAATATAAGTTTGAAGGCTTTTTGTTTGTGTGTTTTGGTTTGTATTTTGTGAGGGTGGAAGGTGGTTACCTGGGAAATTTGTTTTGATCTTGATACTCCTAACGATTTGAGTGATCGAAAACTAAAAGCTGTGAAGATATGTCATCAGCTTACTGGTGATACACATTTACCCTGCCGTATTAACTTCTGAGTAAATAATGTTACTCTGGCTAATCCGTACTGGTACAGACTTTACGGAGACTGCACTTGCAGTACATTGACAGCTTTAGAAATGCTGCAGCAGGGACAGTTGCATAGAATTATAGAATGGCCTAGGTTGGAAGGGACTTTGGAGATCATCTAATCCAACGTCCCTGCCATGCGCAGGGATGCCCTTAACTAGACCAGGTTGCTCAAGGCCTCATCCAACCTGGCCTTGAACATCTCCCCATGTGTTGCCTGATCTAGTCAAGAGGTGGTGTCCCTGGTGATAGGGAAGCTGGATCAAAATGATCTCTAAGGTCCCTTCCAGCCTAGGCCATTCTGTGATTCTATGATGATCTCCAGGGAGGGGGCAGCCACAACTTCTCTGTACGCGATTCAAAAATGTTGGCTTTTAATTTCCAGCGTGTCAGAGCTGTTGGAGAAACATGGCCTTCAGAAACCAGTTTCCTTCGTGAAAGATACGAAGGACAATGCGGAGGAGGCACGGAAGCTGATGATTAGGCTGACGAGGCACATGGGTCGCAAGTGAGTATTCGAAGGGGAACGGGAGATGAGGAGGAAAGGACGGTGAGGTAACAGGTGTCGGAGCATACTCACCTGCTTTGTTGCAGGAGGGAACAGGAGTGTTCAAACTGTCCCTGCCCATGGCAGAGGGGTTGGAAGTAGAATATCTTTAAGGTCCCTTCCAACCCTGACAATTCTATGATTCTATGAACACCAGGTACACAAAACACATTTCTTAAACTGGTGATAAACATGATCAGCATTTCGACTTCATTCTCCCTATCGAAAAAACCCCTCGGTCTTGCTTCAAATCTGTTTCAATATTTGTGTTCAAGTGAACAAGCTGAAAAGGTGAACTTTCTGCCATGTACTGCCTGATGATGGACAGTACAAATAAACGTGAAGTCCTTTAAGACCTATTTAATTTTAATGAGAGTCTGGGATTTGTGAAATGCCTTCTGTTTTTGGTGTGTTTTCTCAGAGACTCTTGTGGTAGGATAATTTAATGATTTTTACATATTATTTCCACCTTTTATATTTCCAGTATAATTTTCCAGTTTTTCTCTTTAAGAGCTACATCATTTAATTTATCTTCCAACTGTAGAGGAATTATTATGTGGTTCTTGGCATAAGCTGATAAAAAGATTGAGCCCTGGAAAAAACAGCCATCACTGATTTGTATGTTTTTGTTTTGTTTTGTTTTAATCTTTACAATAAATATGTAAAACAGTTTATTGCTGATAGTAGAGTGGTATTTAGTTTAGGCGTGCTAAAAGCTTTTTAAGACTTCTAAAAACCTTTCCTTGGAAAGATCAAGTCAATGCCTCTGTAGGGAAGTTGATTTTCCACTTTTTGTGGTTTAACTACATTTTTGTGGTTTAACCAAAATGACAGCTAACGACACATGAGAAAATCACTATTAGCTGGACTTGAAACTTGTGCCACTTAAAAAAGTTAATATAAAAAAACCCCCTTCATAGTATTTTCACTAGTGAAAGTTTAGTTAGAGCGTATGACTCTGCATAGGAAGCTTTGTGGTAAATGCACATCTGTGGACCCAGAGAGTCAACAGTACGAATACCATTCCAGTTTAAGGAACAAATAAACATGCAGTTTTATTGTCCTGTGATTGCATGCAACTAGTCTTTGCAGTTATGGACAATGATCAACACTTGAATGGACCTCAGTTGCTGTTACAAACTTGTTTTCATGCAGCTGTTCTTGGATCAGCAGG